GGAAAATTCAGTGAGAGGCGAATAATTCAAAAGGAGTGACTCATAAGCAGAAAGCCTTGCAGTCTAATCAACGTTCATTATTGTCTGCATAATGTCACAAACTTGAAAACAGCGTGCGTGCGTGCGTGCTACAATCAATAAAAGTCGTCTTTAGAGAACGAGGCACAGGAATAAGCCACTGCTTCGCAGCAGGTGATGATAAACAAGGATTATATATGCGTCATGCTCCGCCTCCAGCACTCTAGTATTAAGAGGAGCAATGAGGGAGATGGAGAGAGTGAAACAACAGCGCTTCCTTCCTGAGTAACGTCTGCCTTGGTCTATTCCAAACAGATCGTTAATGATCTCTCAGATAATGGTTTGTTATCGAGCGGCACACACACTGAAATCAATAAGAGCGAACTCTCCGATAAGAGCTGCAGCAAACATCTACTCACGGTATAGAAGCCCAGGTTCCTGAGCAGCGTCTTCATGAGGATCTCGGCCAGGTGGGTATCAGGGTGTCCCGCCGTGTCGCTGTACGTCGGGTCTGGGGCGGCCGTGAAGCCCGGGCCGGAGCAGAGACCCTCGGGCCCGTCGGCCGGAGAGCTGTAGCCCAGGAGCGAGGCCACGTGGGTGTGGTCCTGGAGGCTGGTCAGGATTATGTCGAGCTGCATCCTCTGTGGCACAAAAACACACGTTTAAAATGAGACTGCTGACCTAGAGAGAAAAAACAAGCCGACAAACAGCACTCGGTGTTAAACTGGTAAACACGGAGGTTCATACTGAGGGGAAATAGTCCAATGTGCATTCAACAAGCCGGCCTCGGCGGCGGTTATCACAGCTCTTCTGATTTAGTCATATTTCATGAAACACTAGGTTTTTAAATTGTTGAGGTAACTGCACATTTTTTGCATGTGCAGAAATGTTCCATAAATTAACAGTAAATTTGTACTTTTAAAGGAACGTTTTGATATTTTGGAAAAGACACTAAATTTGCTTTCTTGCCAAGAGTTAACTGATACGATCGATATCACTTCTATATCTCTACATTAACGTCAGGCTACAGCCGCTAAACTTAGCCAGAAACACGCTAAGCTAACCGGCTGACCACTTAGAGGAACCAAACCAGCCTTTTACTCCACCAACACCACAACGTGAGCCATCAACCAACGGGGCATTTGTTAATCTACACAAACCTCAAGTACATCAATGTAAACCAGTGGCTGTGACCCGGCTTTTAATGTCTAACAATGAGATTAATGTATAAAAAAAAAAGTGCTCAGTTTTAAGCATATACGTCTCCACTGGAGTTCAGAAAATAAAACTCTACACGTGCATCCAGAGTCATGGATCCTGACAGGTGTGTGTATCAGGAAGCATAGCATACCTGTCCTTTGGAGAGACTCTCCCATCTGTCAGGGCCCTGAGGCAGCAAGGAGTGAAGGAGCTCCATCCTCTCTCTCAGCGGAGGCAGCAGCATGGTCGCCCCCACCGACAGAGTCTCGATCACCGCCTGATGGGGACACACACAACACACACACACACACACACACACACAACACAAAGCTTCAGGTGGGGCAACAGATCCAGAGTTTGTTGACATGTTAAGAAAGTACTGTTTGGATGTTTTGAAGTAGGGTTGCATGAAGTACTTTTCCATCGTCAGTGTATGTGTAGAAACTTAAATAAATTAAGATCAGTTTGTGTTATTCTGTGACTTTGGCTGGTTCGGATTCTAGAATACGTCCTCAGCAGAACATTGATTTGTGCGTTTCTATAAACTACTGTAGTAGAACTGTGACTCTGGAGAAGAACCTCATACAAATACTTCTAAACATCACTACTGTCTCTTTAATGTCCACTGAGCTAATCTCAATGATTACATACAAAGAGAACAGCTGAGGAGTGACAATTCAGATAAAATAGAATAAAACAGATTTAATTACAGGCATGGAAAAGGTGACAGAGATGCTGCTGCAGCTCCGTGTTTCTTTAAGTGAGAACTTCATCCTAAATATGTTGTGTTTTTTCACAAATTGTCTCTGTTGTGAACCGTTTTATTATTTCTACTATCTATCTTGGTCTTTACTATGCTGATAATCCCCCCCCCTGCATCTTCTTACCTCCTGAATCTCGTCAGGCACTGAGGAGTCCATCAGTCTGAAGAGCAGGTTCCTCAGGGGTCTGGCCTGCCGACCTAAGATGCTGGTGGCCACGCCCCCGGCCAGAGCCAGAGCCAGATGATTGGACAAAAGCCGAAGGCACAGCTTGAGGAAGTTATGATGCTCCCTGCAAATATATTTTTTAAATGTATTTAATTTTAGCCACCACTATTGAATCTTATTGCCAAGATGACGGTGTGAAAGTTTCACATGTAAAAATCACAGACTTAAAAAACAAAAAAGTTAAAAACAAGATAAAAAAAAAAGTCGAGAGACTTAAAACAATCCAGTAAACTGCATCATGCTAAGACTTGTTATTCAGCGTCAGGACACATTCATTACAAATACGTACAAACTACATTAAAAATGAATTATATATCTCGGTATATAGATATAGATATAGATAGATAGATAGATAGATAGAGAACTTGTCACAAACAATCATCCGACGTCTCTGGTACCACATAGAGCCCAATATCAAGCTTCTCATGCTAGTGGAGGGTAATTAAGGTGTCCTTAGTTTTTTTACTTAACTATGCAACTTTATGTCATTTCAGACCATTGTTATTAAAGTTAACGCCCAAAAAGCTCAGACAAAAAAAAAAAAAAAAAACGTGCTATAGTTAAATCGTTTGTTAATTATTTACACATATCACAGCCTTTGTGTGAACATGTAATTCTTCTATCAATATGTTTTCCTTTAAAATCATACTCTGTGAATCAAAAGAGCAGATTTGTCATTTTAAATAAAGATGTTGGTAATTAACTGTGAATCTGATAATAACAACCCTCTTTCCTGGAGAGGAGGTGCTTAATTATACACGGTTATTTCTCTGTGTTTTCTCCACACCGGTCAGTGCAGTGATGGTGGCCGTGTGTGTGTTTACCTGGATGAGGGGAACGGAAGAGGAGGGACTTCACTGTTGATGCCGTCACAGTAGCGCTCGAGGAAGGAGCGCAAGTGGGAGAAGGTGCTTTCCTCCAGGTCGACACAGTAGGGCCTGTGCCAAGCCACCACCTGCCTACAGAGCCACAGGGAGTAAGTATTCATATATTAATATTAATATGAATATGAAGAGCTCTAGTGCTTCATAGGTGCTCCAGTGGAATGAATGTCAAACATCAAAGCTCTGGAGGGACATGCTGTTGTTGTCATTCAAACACTTTGTCCACTAAACTGATGAAGCTTGAAGCATTTCTCCACTGATTTAAACCAGCAGGAATAAAGTCGGGTTAGTCGTGCTCGTCGTTAACTGAACTTTACGTGTAGAATTGATGCCGTGCCTCAAAACCACTTCAACAAAGTTCTGCCTTACTCCTGTTTTCTAATGAATGCTAGTTTTCTACCGATCTATCTAAAGAATGCACTTCCTGTGAACACTGCATATCAAAATAAATGTGACACATGTGAGAGTTGGCAATGTGGTTTCCTGTTTTTTTTTTTGTCAAGAAATCTCATCACTTTACTTTGAAGGTTGAATCGACATCATCACACCAGACGCTGCGTATTGTTCCGTCGGTTTGACCTCATCAGATTTATCAAAATGAATCACAATATTATCATAAACATTGGATCAGTACATGTGTGGTACTCCACTGTGGTGTGATGGAGTTTAATCCAACATTGCAAAGTCAAACATTCTGATTTTTTTTCTCACTAATTTGAGAGCTCAATCTCAGAGAATATTACAATTTTTCTTGTTAATTAGTTTTTTCTCGAACATTTAACACTTTACTTTAAAAGATTATCAGATTTTTTTTTCACAACACTGATGTACCGTAACATGTTGTATAGTAGTGTCTACTGAAATCAGTTGACATGGTGTTTATAATGTTTTGACTATATCATCTCTTATTATATTTATAACTTTTACACATTAGGAGACAGAGTGACTTTCATCTAAAAGGTTAGATCTTCTATCAAGATCTAACCTCCTGAGACACTCTGTACTTTACGTCAGTAACAGTCAACATGACATTAACATCACACAGAAGGAAAAAGAAACTGCTGCACATTTCACGTGCAGTCACTGACCTTTGACCTATATTGTGCAATCCTATCAAAACCCCCCCTCCCCTCCCTGTGTGGCTATGTTTATGTTCAATGCTACCGTCGCTACAGCAGTTACTCTGATGTTGAGCTGACCTGTCTCTGGGCAGGGCGGTCCATGCCAGGCTGTGGGACGTTCCGGCTGAGATCTGCTGAATAGCGACTCCGTCCAGACCCACCACCTTCTTGGGTTTGGTGATCGGCCCCGTGGAGTTCCCCTGGCCACACTGGCCCATGGAGTTGTTGCCCCATGCGTACACTTCATTGTCTGGAGAAGTAATACAAGATTAGATATAGAATCTGTACTACACTGATCTGAAATATACGGTCTAGCTTCAGTTCAGTATTAGCCTAAACAAACAGGGTCTATGTATTTTGCTATTACATCATGCTACTTGCGACAGCTCTGTCACTTGTTTAACAAACATAAAATCATGATCACACTGTGACTTGACAAGAGGCCGTGGATTTAGCATGTTCAGCCACATTGATCCCCAAAACCCGCCAGCGGGACTGAAAAGCATGTTTCCTCTAAACAATCGCAGAAACTACACTGTTTATCACAGCCAGCTGTAAAAAAAAAAAACACCATTATCGTCTTTCTGACGGCCCTTGAACACATCATGTGCGACAAACACTTCCGTCTGAAAAAGAAACCGAAACAAAGCTTAAAATTGTGAAATTTCATCACCAACATTTTATTCTACATGTCTCCTTTAAAATCTCACCACAAATAAAGCTTTGCTTTTTTCTGTAAAAAACATTAAAGTGTGAGCTCCTCAGTGAAACTATGAAGTCATGATTGATTCATCTGAGACCAACAGTCATGTGACAACAAAAATCAGTGAAACTTCTGCACAAAAGACATGTTCTAGTTCTCTCTACTTCTAGTCATGATTGTTCTGTTTCTATAGAGCTGCAGGACTTTTATATTACAGAGAAAATCAAGACTACAGAGAGAAACTGTGACAAAAAGCTCCCCGAAAGAGAAGAGCAAAAGACAAACCATGCGACAGGGCCAGGCAGTGACTGTCCCCGATGGAGATGTCCACCACCCTGGTGGTAGCCAGCTCCTCGATCAGTTTGGGTCTGAGAGCTGTGGCCTCAGAGGAACCACATCCCAGACAAGCACCGCAGCCCCACGCGTACACCTAAAGAACAAGTGGCACCAATCAACATCAGCAGAGGAGTTATTCTGGTGCTCACATCGCAAATCATTTCATTTTGGTCTCCAGGAGTAAAATCAGTGAGGCTGTATCTTTGAGACAAAGCCTGAGAAAGAAGAGCTCCGTTACGTAACAAGTCATCACTGTCAACGTCCAACCGGCTGTCAGCAGGAATGCATAAACAGCAGTATGAAATTCCCTCTTTGGGACAAAGAGCCTTCATTTATTCCTCAACAAACCGGGCTTTTGTCCCGTCTTGGTTAACCCTTTAGGACTGCTATCATACCTGTCCGGTGGAGGTTAAGGCGAGAGACGACTGGCTTCCTGCACACACTTTCCTGATGAACATTCCCTGCAGGGCTTCCACTACTTTTGGCTTGTAGACTCGATTGGTATCACCGTGACCGAGTTTTCCTGCGGGACAACACGTGGTTTCACTTGTATGAGAGCATGTACTCACACTGTAGTACAATTTGAAGAAATACAAGACAAAACTGCAAGAATTATGTGAAGGCTCCTATTTAAATTCAATTTACAAGATCACTGATGACGTTTAACAACAAAGTCTTGGTGAAGGGTTTCCTCACCGTTGTCTCCTCCTCCGAAGGACCACACGGTGCGTCCATCCTTGGACAGAGCGATGGTATGAGAGCTGCCACACGACACCTCTCCCACGTTGCTGATGTCTTTAACTAGGGTAGGAATGTTTCGGCTGTTGCTGTCACCGTGACCTGCATCCCCCCAAACAATGAAAGAAAACTTCAGACTGCTTACGCACAGAAATTACAAATGTGGAGTTTTATTTAGCTCGTTTGAGTGGAGGGTTAAAAAAAGTCCACGCGGAGCATCCGGCACACAGAGCAGAACGAGGTTGTTTTCTCCAGTATTAGTTCACAGCACTTCTTCCTGTCATGACTGGGTCTTTACAGGTTCATGGGTTCATGGTGGCTCATTCTGCAGTCAGGAGTACGTAGAATACTAAACTAAAACATTTAATGTCATCATGTATATACTGAAGGCTTTAATTACTAATAATAATAATAATAATTATTATTACAAAATCATTCCATATATAAAGAAATCAGAATCTAAACAATTATTATCATGCAAACTGCAAAATAGTAAATAAAATAACTTATAAATAAATAAGTTAGAAAAACCAACAGCTCTCTTTTTCTAAATAAAATATTTTAAGATATTTGCATCTATAAACGGACCACATCTCTCTTTTCTGTGCGGTAGCGACGGAGCCATCTGTAAATGGCCAGTTATTAGTTAAACAAATTTATGAGTCACAAATTGTTGTGTGTCATGGTGTTTTACCGTGTTAACGAGAGTTAGCTTGAGGGGTTATTAATAATAATAACTTTATTTATATAGCAACTTCAGAAACAGAGTTTACAAAGTGCTTTGACAGACAAAGCAGAAAAAGCGAGACAATAAAATAAGTGTTGTGTTACAAAGTTATAACCATGAGTGAGAAGAGTAAGAAGAGAATCTTAAGAGCGTTGACAATCCCCCCGGTTGTACTGGGAACTACTTAAAAGTAACAGCTGTACATTAAAAGAGATCCTAAATGAGTTCAGCAACTTACCTAATCTTCCAAAATCTCCTTCACCCCACGTGTACAGCTCTCCATCCTCACTGACTGCAGCACTGTGTCTGTAGCCGGCAGACACACACACCACCACCTGACACAGAACAACAGACACACATCAGACTTAATCATCGGTTACTGGATTTAAAAGATGAAATAATGTGCACCATGTGAATAGAATAGCCCTACCTTCCCCTGGAGTGGCCCCTGGATCAGTTTGGGGTATTTCTGTGTTGAGCTGTTCCCGTGACCCAGTTTGCCGTAGTCACCGTCGCCCCAGCTGAACACCTCGCCCTCCGTGGTGAAGGCCAGCGTGTGGCCGTCGGAGCCCTTGGACGACGACACCTTCTTGATGGCGCGGTGGGGCTCAAAGGTGAGCTTCTTGAGCGTCGACTGGTTGTTGGAGTCTCCGAGGCCCAGACGGCCGTAGCTGCCTTTACCGCAGGCCCGGACGGAGCCATCGGACGAGATCACAAAAGTGCAGTACTGGCCCGCCTCAATCTGCAGAGAGAGAGAAAGAGAGAGAGAGAGAGAGAGAGAGAGAGAGAGGCGCTGTGGTAAAATCCTGTGGCGCTAAACTACAGCTGTGAAGGGTGTAGTTGTCTCATTGGTTGGTGGACTACGGTTTTTCAGAATTTTGGCCATCGAAATCTGAGGGGGTTCTGAAATCTGAGGCCCCGCCCCTAAAGCATCCCCTGCTTTATAATAATACACGGTTAATACACGGAGTACACTGGTTTTCATCAACAGAAGCTATGATCAAACACTTTTGTTGACAATAGTATTTCCATTAACTAACTAAAATATTAAAACTAATTTAACCTTGTTGGCAAGAATGATTTGGACGTAGATGCAACATATATGTCTCTGGTTGCAACCTGTCAATCACCGTGTAGACCCGCCCTAAAGCATCTCCTGCTTTATGGTCTGTTTGACTCTAAATGGACCATAATGTACTAAATGAACATCATGCTGTATTGAAGAAGACTTGAAACTAGAGATTGAGACCATAAACTCATGTTTACAATGTTTACTGAGGTAATAAATCAAGAGAGAAGTAGAGTCATTTTCTCATAGACTTCTATACAACCAGAGGAGTCGCCCCCTGGTGGACACTAGAGAGAATGCAACTTTATAGACCTGGAGGTTGCCACCTGGATACAACACCCGGTCTCCAAGAAATGATGTTCCCATACAACTGAACTGCTTTCTCAACTATGTTTTTGAGGGAAACGTATTTACAGTTTTAAACACATTTTTAACGTTGTGAATTTCAACCTGACACAAAACAAAACAAAAACTACTGAAAAAAAATACTTTTGTAAAAGATCTTGCTTTGGCTTAAAACAAATGTTTGTTATGTATCTTAAATTAAGTAGGTCATCTGGGAAATGCAATTGAAAAAGGCAGTTTTCAAGAGACCAGGCTGAGCTAGTTTCTGATGATTATTTGATTTAATTTCCTGCAAATTCAGCAGCACATTAGGAAAAATGATTTTGTGCAACTTCATCTTGCAGAGAGGCCCCTGACATTATAAACAGATGAACAAAGGTTATGTGGGTAAGATAATTGTCTCATACCATCGATCCGTCTAACACAGCGTGTCACATTGTTTTGATACACAGCTGTAGTTCCGCTGAAGGGAGAACCAGTGCTGTTAATGCATGTCACACGTGTTTATGAAATGCTCTTTTTGTGATCATGCTGATCAGTAAAATTCATGCTCTGAAGAAAAACAATATTTTCCCCCTTAAAACTTAACCCGTTTGACAAAACATAGCTAAATTAATTTTGAACCGAGGTAATTTTTACATTAATTACCTCGGTCATGCTTTGTGACTTTGTGCCGCGTCATCACGGTTAATATTTATACCACCAATGTGTTTATGGTAGAAATGTTTACTGGCACGCAGTGATAAATACTAAACGTCCTGCATTAAAAATGTTCCTGAAGTAAAAGTACAAAAGTATTAGCATTAAAATACACTTTAAGTACCAGAAGTAAAAGTACACTCAATATGCACTCAAATACTATATGTATCATTGGATTATAATTACTGATGCATTAATGTGTTCATCACTTCAATGTTGCAGCTGGTGAAGCTCATTTTAACTACTTTACAGACTTCATAATATACTACTTAATAATACTTCATAGTTCATTACTTTATTTATATTTTGTGTTTAGAACGTGAATCTGCAAAATAGCCAAACTAGTGACTAATACTGTCTAATAAATGTTATGAAATTAGAAGTATAATATTTCCCTCTGAGATGTAGTGGAGTAGAAGTATAAAGTTGCATAAAATGGAAATACTTAAGTACAAGTACCTCAAAACGTGTACTTGAGTACTTGAGGAGCATAAAAGCACAAAGTTACATTCCATCCCATGCTACAAGTAAATTGCAGAAGTGAAATTGTTTACAAGAGCACAAAGTTCTTCTTAATTCTGCTCTAAAGGGAACCAGATTGGTGCATTTAACTTTAAAATGTGCTAAATTTAAAATCTAGCCACCACAGTGTCAGAAAGCTTCAGATGCTCCCTCTCTAAACATGTGCAGACACACAGCTCTACAGAAGACTTGTGAACTGTTCTCTTACGGTCTGTGCGTCGGCGAAGCTCGCGGCCAGCTTGGGCTGCAGGATCTTCTCCTGCGTTCCCTCCACCAGCTGGTGGCTGCTGTTACTGCCCCACACGTAGACCTCACAGGTCTCAGACACCACGGGCGCCTCGCCGGTCTGGATGCTGTCTGGGCTGACGCAGGTGCGAGAGTAGTCCGACGCCATTCGACATACCTGAAAGAAAAGGACGCGAGTAAAGAACCGCTCCGGACATGTTTCAATAATCATTTGTGTCTGACGAGTTTCTTAAAATGACATCTCCTCCCTTTTCCTTCCAACACATTTTTGACTGGTAACTTACAGGAGTTACTCGTATGGATCTAAGTGAAGGCTATCCACTCCTTTAAATAAGCATGTTGAGGTGTATTATTTAGAGTATAATGATACGTAGAGTACTTCTAAAATGTCTTACTTCTTCTAAGAGACAGAGTGCTGCCTCATACAATGAGCACAAGCCATCAGTGGTCCGTGTGGGTTCTCTCCACTGGCTGCGATCTGCTGAGGAGCCCTGAGACAGAAGAAACACATTTAAATATATAAATGTTTAGACCATAATGACTTCAAAACAATTACAATCATCACACTCAACAGGGGGCCTTTGTCACAGACCCCCAAAAGGAAACGTTAAACAACCTATGCACCTTTAAATCTGATAGGAATCCAAAAACCATGTGATACATATCAGACAACCCCGAAAACTTTGAAAAAAACGTAAATAACTCGTTTGAAAGCCTATGACATCATCATTGTTTATTTACCAGCATGTTTGTATTTGGTTGGTGCAGAATGTCAGTAGTGTTTTCAGTTATCACACCTTAAGATCATAATAGCTGCACTATAAAGCATACAGATGGATGAATTATTATTAGTTTATAGTGTTTTCCATAGAGACAAGAAAGACGTGGTTGGATGAGCAAAGTAAAGCTGCCGAGGCTACTGAGTCCTTGTTTAAGCAGAAGTTATAACAGTTCTGGTTTGAGTTATTAAACCACAAAAACAACACTTCCAATCTGCCAGCAGTGTTGATGTTTACTTACCAAAGAGCGCCTCATCTGCATGAGGATGTTCATGAAACAATCATATCCGATGAGCCCTTCTTGGTTCTGTAGCACCTTATTCTCCTCCATAGCACTGACCAGGGCTGATGCAGCCAAGGCCATCTCGATCCACTCCAGCAGGTAGCGCAGGGAGCCCCTCTGGGAGGCCAGCCCCAGCAGCAGCTCGGAGGCAAGCCGCCGCCCTAAAATGTCCGCCCCAGAGTTTGGCATGGTCACCCCCTTCAGGAAAGTGGTGACCTGGGCCAGGCAGTCCAGGCCCATTGGCGGGATCTTGCTCTCGTTGGCCAGAGAGAGGGGCGGCAGGGAGCTGACCACGTCGATGGCCGTGTGAATGACATCGTTACACAAGTTTATGTTGCCTCCGGCACCTCCGCCGGGGCTGGGTGGAGGAGGCATCATCCAGCTCTGGCGCAGCAGAGCAAAAAGAAGGCTGAGGCCCGTGCGGACGCCCATCTCGATGAGGGCGTCCGTGCTGGAGCGCGGCCGCTCGCTGACAGAGTGCAGATCGGCCGAGCCCGAGTTGTTCTCTGGAGAGTGCTGCTGCTGCTTGACCTTTCCTTTGTCGTGGTACTTGTTGGAAAGTGCGTAGAAGATGCGCTGGAGCACCAGCACACGTTTGCGCAGGGCTGCAGCGAAGGGAGAGTCGGAGCAGACCATCTTGGCCAAGGCCAACTGGCTGCTGAGTAGCGCGTCCAGGTAGTGCTCCTGCTCATCGCTGGAGAGGGATTCACGCTCAAAGTCCGGGAGCTGGGGCCCTTTCAGACACAGCACCTGCTGGGGCAGCAGCACGGCCTCTTTGTTGGCCAGCAGCTTCGAGTACAGCACCGACACTCCCTCCCGTGTGGCGATCGACTCGCTGTCCTCCGTGATCCACGAGCTGTTCAGGTGCTCCAGCCATTTGAGCTTCACCGGGGGGATCATCAGAGCCATGGCATGTCACTCTGGAGCCATCAGTCCTGAAAACAGACAAATTGTTAATATCAAGCTTGTGAACAGCAATTTGTGTTCGCAAAGGCTGTCTTTTCTCAACGCTATTTAAAATGTTGGGGAAAAACACAATAATCTTCAGTTTGAGGTTATTAATAGTTTCCAGTTTGCAAAATTGGCACAGACCTTGATCCATTCAACACTTCTTCACTGGATAATATCGTGAATCAAGATGAAGAAACAAACATTATGGACTTATGTGCTAATAACACAGATGAGGTCATCTATGTAAATATGACCTAATATATATATATATATCGAAACAGAAAATAATATCTAAAGCTGCCCGATAATCGAGCACTGCTCTCAGTGAAAACTAGCCTGGTTGAATAAAGGTTTTTTAATGCTTTATCGTGCGATTTAAAGTTGTATTATTACTTGTACAAATGTTTTATATGCACACTGATTACATTCTATTTCATGATGTTTAGTCGTTTGTGAAGTTTAGCCATACATTTACAGACCAGCCTCGCTCCAGTCTGTATTGTAAACACTACACACATGTTGACCCGTGCATAACAGGTCAGAGACGTCCAAACTCTGCTTCAAAGAATCCATAACTGGAAACTAAAGGCATGCTTCTTTTTGACACCAGTTGCAATCTAGAACGGGTTCTCTGTAGGTAACCTTACTGCCTCTGGGTTTAAGTTGAGGTACGGCAGGTGTAAAGACGAGTAAAGTGTGTGTCAAAGCGCTGCTGCCCGCTAACAAAGTCCAAGAAATATGACCACGTCACTCCTATCCTTGCATCCTTACACAAATCCCTACATGTTCTCACCCTTACATATTCTTCAGTCTCTCAGCCCTTACAGCACCAGACCCATCGGATCCGCCCAATGTGGCCAACTGGCTGTGCACTGTTCGTGGAGAAAGGTGGAGTCTATTGATGCTTTTAAGATGCACCTTAAAATCCACCATTATTCTCGGGCTTTCAAGTGTGTTCAACCCGTGTTTGATTGTGTTTAAACTCGTTTCCAATTGTAATCTTGCTTTATTTCCACATATACACCGGATGTCTCTCTGCTTGTATGTGCTATATAAATGAGATAAACTTCTTCCATCATACCTGTTGTATAAACAAATACCATGTTTATCGTTGACATTTTGTAATCCAGCTAAATGCTTTGCTTCAGTTTATAGTGAAGGTGAGCGACTTTCTGCAGACACACTGGTGAGGCTACAGGCTCAACACTGCAGTTGTTTACAATCATATTGTAGTTGTGATTGTTCATGATACTCTCACGAACAAGTGAAGAAATACTGCACCTCCATTTGCACTATTACCTCCATTCTGCACTAATATCCCAAATCCATTGTTCTTTATGTTCATATATATATTCTTCGATGTATATTTATATTGTACATAGTAGTTGTTTGTTTATGCTTAGTTTCTCTGTTCTACTTTGTTGTCTTTAATGTCCTTGATTTTATATTTTTCTTGTTTATTTGTATATTCCATGTATGTACGTTGAGAGCAATGTGAAAACCGGAGTCAAATTCAATAAAGCTGATTCTGATAGGTAGCTAGCTAGCTACTAACCGACCAATCAGAATCAATTACGGGATTTAATACAAATTATGAATATTACTCATTATTATTTAGTAGTAGAAAAACAGCACTGTAGTCAAATGTGTATTAATAACTATATTAATAACTATTTTAGTTATTGTGGATTTTTTACTTATTTAATATTCTTTACTGTTTTATTACTTATTCATAATACTTGATTTTATTTTGGGGTTCATTCTATGTCTCTTGTTTGCACTTTCCTGTGTGTGCGCACACACACACACACACACACACACACACACACACACACACACTTAATAATAAAAACCTTCATTTGTGTGAAAAAGTGTTTGCCCCCTTCCTGATTTCTTATTTTTTTGCATGTTTGTCACACTTAAATGTTT